TTGCATTGATTCCACTCTTGATAATGGAGTAGACTTCCTGAAAATAAACCTCTTAAAAAGAACTTAAAGGAACTTGGATGGAGATGGTTTCACACACTTTATGAGTCGGGCTCTCTCTGGATACCCATCAATTAGAGGTGAAGGTGATAAAAGAAAAAATTTGCCCCATCTGGCTCTACATAAAAATCCCCAAGAGCCATGACAAAAAGGATTCACTGCAAGAAGAGGCCTGCTCTCTGGGGAGGTGTTTGTTTTTCAGGCTCTTGGAAATGCTTTTTCTTTTTAGGGGTGTTATTTCAGTAGAGCCAGATGAGATGCACTTGCTATTTTTATAAGATTTTAAAGGCTTAAGCAGGGCAAATATGTCTCTTCAACCTGCCTTCTGCAATAAGCCGGATGCTAAGGCAGCTTTATGTCCCATAAAGAGTAACATTAGCCTCATGGAGCTACAGGCGAGTTCTGATAATCTTGGGGATGAGTCCTTAGAATCAGATTAGTTGGGGGAAGGCTCCTATTATTTTCCAATTTTTTAAAACTACCAGTAAAAATATATTATAATGTGACCATACTTTTTCTCTATTTGACCAACATAAACTCTGACATTCTATATTTTTACTGGGTATAATAGTTTCGGCTTTTCAAGTTAATTTTTATGTTCAATATATGGCAGTCACTCTTACATATTTCTGTGGTCCTGACCATAAGTGTTACAATGAGCTATCCCTACCCGGGAGATGTACTGTCATCTAAAATAAAATATATTAAAGGTAGAGTTTATTTTCTTCTTCCAAAACCCAAATGTTTACCACCAATATTTTATTTGACTTTATGAACGTGTGTTCTTAGATTTTTTAAAAGTACATTTCTTCATCCTTGAATACTGAATAAAATCCCCAGAATTTACACATTTATTCTGCCACCAAAGTCCTGATAGGATTCTTGTTTCCCTTCTGAGTCCCCATCATAGATCTACTTGACAGCAACAACCCTATTTCTGGCTTTGCGCTCCTCTAGCGCTTCACCTTTAATCTGTCCTACTTGCAGAAGCAAGATTTGTCAACAAAATGAATTCTGACCAAGTAAAATACTTCTTCTTTTTGGTAATTTCTAAATGGCTTCCGATCCTTTCTCGAACTTCAGGAACACAGTTCTCCATAAATTGTCCAAAGTGCACTTTTCTTATTATCCTAATTTTCTAATGGTTCTCCTACCCTCTGAGCTGTTCCTCTCTATTTGTATAATAAATCCAACATGGACACTTGTATCCTGCAGCACGCTGGAGATAGTATTTACATAGGATATGTCTATATCTACTACCTCTCTCTCACACTCTCTCTCTCTCTCTCTCTCACACACACACACACACACACATCTCTGTATCTGCTGAAGATCTGATCCTGCATGGAACGGAGTCTCAGAGCCCCTGGCTTCCAGTGCCAGCTCTGTCCCTAATTTACTGTGCAATTTAGGAAAGCCCTGACCTCAGTGTGCCCCATTCTCACTGCCAACAGAATGGAGATAAAGGACATGCTTTGAGCCAGCTTCCATACTGAACCTCTGATGACTTGCATTGCAATAAGAGCGCTTGAGTGGATTAACCACATCTGGCTATAAGCACTCCCACCAGTCACACCATCCCAGCTGTTTATGTGCAGTTAATATATGTCTTTGTCACACAGTCCCATTATTAAATTGCAAGCTCCTGGAATTTGCTTAGTTCACTCATACAAACAGTATTTAAGAAGCGTGCAAATCATTAGTCCGCGTAAAAACTTTCCCCGTACAGTTTGATTGTGTTTCTAATAGAGTTCTATGTACCGAGAAATACTTGAATGAATGATTATTATGCCCAGTAATGACTGGTTGGAAAAGCATGACTTGCATTTTTTAAATGTGCTGTTCTTTTACCTTTTCAAAACAAATGCCAGATTTAAATTCCAACAACATTCCTCGTGAATTGGAACCCTTTACTGACTTCTCCTAAGTTTATGCTCCCCAGTGAGCTGAATGATAATATCTCGGGAGCTAAATTTTCTTCTACTTCTCTGCCATATTTTACTTAAAAAAATTCCCCATCATACAGCAGCGCCCAATGTGATCATTAAATAAAACTGTAATTAAGGTGACATCGGCAGTTTCAGTAATTAGAGTCTTGCTGTAACTGTATGAGCAAAAATAACATTCCCTGGCGCTGAGATGGGGCAGCTGTGGGCTCGTGCTGATAATGTACCTTGGCAATTTAACATGACTAATTGTGTGAGCGCTTCTTCACAGGGGATCGTGTGTTAATCTTCAAAAGTTCCTCTGTCTCCATAGTTTCTCCCTTGCTTTGTGATGGCCCACATTCTCAGACACACTCGTTCCTAGAGCTGTCTCCGGAGGCTGCTAATTCTGACTTTCTAATTGTGAAAGGACTTAGCTGTGGGCAGGCATCAACGTTCAGGGTGCTTGTTGGGTGGGGCCCATGAGAGACTCTTGGTCAAAGCTTTCCTTCTCGGTATGCTATTCCAAGCACTAGGATTTGTAAGTGGGCTGCTCAAAGTAGTCCAGTTACAGAGTTCAGGGTGGTTTCCAGCTCAGCCCTCTGCCAAAGACAGGCCATTTCTGTTTTTATGTTGAACCTGTCCAGGGACCATTCTCTTCAGCTCTTACGCCTCCCCCTCACTTCCACATGTGCAGTCCTTAGGTCTTCAAGACCCTCGGGGAACACTGGCAGCCTTGCGCAAGAGCCTCTTGGGGGAGGAGATTCCTTTATCACAGGTGGCCGTTCGGGCCCTGGTTGAACTCTTCATCTTCCTGTCTTGATTCCCTCCTTACCCCTCAACACTCCACCTTTGATCTCCCGAGCAATCTGCTCTTCTATTTTTACTGCTACCACCACGGATAAAGCCGTCTGAACATTTTTCTCTCTTTGGCCTCTTGCCTTGCTCTTTCCAGCTGACTCTCCAGGCTGATATGAAGTCAATCACTGTAACATACCCATCTGAAATCATGGCCCTCGTGTGGCCCACAATGCATTTAGGCTACACGTTGCTTTGAGGTGGGAGCCTGAGTTCAAACCAGGACATACAAGGCTCTCCATGATGAGGCCCTTGCTTCCCTCTCTCACAATTCCACATCCTTATTGCTGAGTTTTCAGTGATCCTACACTGTTTACAGTTCAGGGTCAGCTCTTGGATGACTCAGAGTGTGCTGCTATGAAGTGTGCACCATCAGCACCTCCCTCTCCTCACCCAAGTCTTGGCCTTGCATTGCAGCCAAAAGTCTGTTCACAATGATTGGCACTGCCCCAGCCCACTGTAAAGCTTAGCTACAGGGTACTGATGGGACTTGAAAGTAGGGAAAACACAGCCTAAAATTCTGGATGCTATAACCATGCAGATTAATATAACTTTGTAAAAGGAAATAAACTAAGTATTTGGGGGCAGAAAAATATGCTGCAATTGCCATAAAAGGCAGTTCTTTGGGAGGTTAGGGAAGAGAAAGCAGAAAAATGGTTTGAATCACCATGCAAGACACTCTTAGAGAACAGTGGGTCAGAATAAAGGTGAAAATACGGCGTTCAGATAATAGAAGCACCATGAAGACAGACAGAGAGAAAGCTGTACAAAATATGTGGTCGGGACAGAGAGCTTAGCAGGTGTATGATTGATAGACAGATGATACAAAGACAACTGACAGAAAAACAGATGACAGATGATTGGTAGATGATAGCTCATTGATAGATGATAGGAAGATACATGATATATGGATAGATAGAAAAATAGATAGATGGATTACATCAATCAGGAAAGACTAGAATATTCCCTGCAGGAAACAGATCTTGGAGGCATAATAGAAACTAGATTTATCTCTTGTGTTACTTGGGAAGTCATGCCCTGTTCCCCACGGGCATTTTTCCTAGGCCAGGTGGTACCAATAGGGCAGCGTGGGTGCTCCATACATTCAGGACCAATGGCCAGGCCAGTACGTTTGGCAAAGGGCCCTGGAAAAAACAGAAGCTGCATGGTCCGGGGAATCAACAGCAGCTCTGAAAAGTAGAATACTGCACTGAGTCTTATATAATAGCTTAAATCTTAAAATTATAATGTGTCATGGCATTATATTTCTCTCAGACAGTGCTACCGTAGCACATAGCAGAGTGAACATTTTTTATTTTTAAACCTCTTTCTCTTCCACTAGACTTCCAGTTTGTTGAGAGCAGGAACTGTATGCCCCTCATCTTTAAACCAAGTCTTGTACATACCAAATATTTTACAAATCATGGGGGAAGAATGAGCCTAACATGCATCTAAAATTTTAAAATTTCTAATAGCAACATTAATGTCTTAAAAAAGAAATGAATTAATTTTTGTTCAATCACAAAATACAAATTATAATTTAATAATTATTCAATGAGTTATTTTATATTATTTTACACTGATTTTTCAAAATCACAAAAACACAAGTCTACAGATCTTTCTGAAGTGCAGCAGTAGAGGACGGGTGGGAGATAATGAGTTGGTAGAAAAAGCTCCATGCTCGGTTGTTTCCCTTGTCATTTAGACTTTATGTTTGCTGCGGCCAGGGACCACCTTCTTCCCTGCAGCGCCTGTAATGCCCGCATGAAGCAGTATTTTTGAAACTACGGCCCGTGACTATTATAATGACTCTATGGAAATACAGCTGTCTTTATACAGGAGATCTTCAAAAGTTCGTAGAAACACACTATCAAAAATTATATACAGGTTTCAAAATGGTTATGCACCAAATAAGCTTATCTTTAAATTCCATTTTCCCATAAACGGTTCAAAGTACCCTTATATGTATATATAAAACATATAACATATGTTTTAAGTCAAAGTTCAACTAAGAGCATGGAGTATTGCTAAGTCTTCCGTACATGATAACCCACAGTTGCTCATTATGTAGTGTGTTCCTGTAATTCATTCATTAAGGAATCCAGACTGTTGGTCTTGTGAAATTTTCCACATGTGAGTCTGAGTCATTGCAACCTCATGGTTTTATGCAGCATGTTCCTTTGTCCTCTAAGATCTAGAGACTTAAAGAAATTTAGGGCCATCTTTTCAGCAGGAACACCCCAAAGTGGCATCAGGCGCCTCCCGCTGATGGTAAGGAACATGAGTGGATTCAGGTGAGGTCACCTTGATTTTTCCAATAAACTTTTCTGTCGCTTTTTAGGTAGCATCACATGCTTGCCAAACATGAACTAGAACCTATATTGCTTATGAAGGGTCCAGAAACTTAATTTTTAAATTATTCTGTATTAATAATTAGAATTTTTTAAAGATTTATTTATTTGAAAGTCAGAGTTACACAGAGAGAGGAGAAGCAGAGAGAGAGAAAGAGAGAGAGGTCTTCCATCCGATAGTTCACTCCCCAATTGGCCACAACGGCCGGAACGGCACTGATCCGAAGCCAGGAACCGGGAGCTTCTTCCAGGTCTCCCACGCGGATGCAGGGGCCCAAGGACTTGGGTCATCTTCTACTGCTTTCCCAGGCCACAGCAGAGAGCTGGATCGGAAGTGGAGCAGCCGGATCTCGAACTGGTGCCCATATGGGATGCCGGCGCTTTAGGCCAGGGCGTTAACTTGCTGTGCCACAGTGCCAGGCCCAATAATTAGAATTTTTAATAAGTATGTATATTTATCTCATCAGCTATTTGATTTCTTTGAGGAAATCAAAAAGATATGTAATAAATTTTCATCTTCTTTCCCTTTATTACATTCCAGAATATTATTTCTCGGGCATCTTCCCAAAGTAACAACTGGGTTTTGTTATTATTATCTTAAACTTTCAAATTCAACATTATACGTGTTTTCATTCACTGCAGTTTCCTGCTAATTGTCCCATCTTTGAGAGCATGTCAACTGCTGATACAAAATGTTCCACACCTAGAAACAGCCGTGTATTCTACTGTCATTGTTCAAGGGGGAAATGGCATTTGGATAAAAAATATGGCTGCTAGGGGCTCACTGCTTCTGATATAGGAAATTATATCAAACCTTCTTCCATGGCTATAGCAAGCAATGTGTTTTTATTTTTGTTGTTTTCAGAGAAAACAATACATAACTTCATTGTGGTATTTCTAATTTAAATTTAGAATTGTAGATTTTAACTCCTTTAATATTTACTTATTTTTTACAATAAAATTTTGGTTAATATCATCCCTCCTTTCCTTTATTCTACCGCATGCTATGACTCTACAAGTATTCATGCGTATATACAATAATTCTAGAGGAGCCTTAAATATTATTCAAAACCATTTAAAGTTTCTTATCTTTGCTTTTATCCTGAAAATATATTCTAATAGTCAAAGTGCTATGTTTTAAATTCACTTGAAGTATATACTTTCTGGACTGTCAAGAAATTTACTCTGCTAGTTAAATTTATCTGTTTCACTTTGCTTTTGACTTTCAGGGATTAAGTTACTGGGAAACAGTTTAATCCCTTCAGATTTGCTTTTAAGCTTTGTTAGGTGGGACCACAGCACTTAGTATAAAGCTAATTTTATCCTACCACTGAGGTCAAACTTCTAAATTAGATGTTCATGAAATTATGTTATACAATGGTACTTCAAACAATTGCTGGAAAAGTGGAATTAAAAGATGAGTTTATGTTTGTGTGAACAAATTTTGAAAGCTAGGTACAGCCTTTTTCTAATACACATTTCCCATGGCCTTTTGGATATGCATGGATTTCGAATTTTTTCCACCAAAATAAATACCTTTTAATTCAATTTTCCACAAACGTTTTGAACTCCCCTTGTACACTGCTAAATTATCAACTACAGTTGGTGTACCATCTTTTGTGACTGCATTTTTTCATTTTATCACCACTTTCAATTCCATCAATAGTTTTCTTATCAATAACATTTTAATTTTTATCAACATTCTTCAAATCTTGTCAACCTTGTCTCTATCAAATAGATAACAGCTGATGAATAATACTGTAGTATAAAATTTTAATTTTTCTTATTCTGAGTGATACTGAAAATCTTTATATTAAAATTCCATTTGCATTGGTTTTCTGGAAAACTCTCTGTGCATAGCTCCAAGCCATTTTTACAGAGAGAGAAGGAGAATGATTTTTTTAACAGCACAGAAAGTATTTGACTCCAGTGAATTTAAAACACAGCAATTTGACTAGTGGACTATATTTTCAGGGTAAAAACAAAAATGTGTGAGAGAGAGAGAGAGCGAGAGCAGCACAAATCTTCCAAAGGCTGATTCACTCCCCAAATGACGTTGTCGCCAGGGCCGGAGCAGCCTGAAGCCAGGGTCCCAGCGCTCAGCCGGGTCTCTTCTGTGGGCGCCAGGAGCCCCAGCACCTGAGGAGGCTCCATCTGCTGCCTCCCCGGATGCTTTGGCAGGTGTTGGGTCAGAAGCAGCGTAGCTGGACCTTGCACTGGCACTCCAATACGGGATGTGGGCAGCCCAACCCCACGCCTAACCTGCTGTGCCACGACACCCACTTCCCTTCTAGATTTTTTGACTCATATTTAAGAAAAGTTCTTTTCAGTTCTCAGTTACAGAAGAACTTATCCGTGTTTTCTTTGAATATTAGTATGCTTTCATTTTGTCCTTTTCCATGCCAGTAAGCAATTATCTTAACACCATTTTTAGAAAAGAATTAATCTGTTCTCCCCTGCTTTGACACAGTTTTTGTCAGACACGAAATTTCCCTAATGGTGAGTAACCTCTGCAATATTATTTTATGAGTCTGTAACATCAAAATGGAACTTAGAATTTTAAAAAGAAGCATTAAAATATTTGTGTAATCAATCATCATCACTCTAGTGATATTGCTATAGTTGAGCTTAGAGTTGATAATATTGATGAATACTGGTTTCTAAAAAATTTCATATGCTATAATGAAAGCATTTCAGAAATATTAAGCTGATAACCAAATGTGAAGTGATGTCAATCGATACCATGGTTACAAAACAGGCTGGTGTGATGGTAGATGTCTTTGTAGAAACAAGCACTTAACTTAGAATACTATCAATATATAATTCTTCAGTCTGAAACGAATCTTTAGAAAATTCTGGTGTATAAAAGTGCTGCTTTTGAAATTTAGCTTGAAACCGAATTCTTTCACTTTTTAGGGAAAGCTCATTATTGGATCCAATTTGCTTATCTTCAGTAGATAGCTTAAGCCAGGAGACTCGTGTAAGAGCCTGGATTTGAGAAGCACATTCTCAGATCTCCGCTAGGCTGCTGTCTCCCTGGGGGTGTAATCTGCTTGCCATGTGACTGCTGCCTCCCTTCTTCTTGAGACTCTCCTAAGGCAAAGTCATCCGCAAAGGGAAGAGGTCTGTCCTTGCATATGCAAGCCCAGAGTGAGATCACATTGTCACACATCAGCTTAAAGCTTTAGAAAATACTTATTTATTTATTTACGATTGCATCGGAAGAAATAGACATTCTTAATTTGATTCTGGGAGCAAAAATGTCTACAGGCTTCCTGGAGGAAATTGTGGTCAGACCTACATTTGCCAGTGTTCTCATTCCTGCTCATTCTCACCCCTCAGTGCAAGGCTCTTCCCTCCTGACCCCAGGAGGTCTGTGGCTGCCATTCACTTCACAAGCAAAGCACCCTGGCTGACTCCTGTTAAAGCAGCAGTCTCACTTTCTTGAACCACACTCCTTCGGTGCCTTGGCCCCGGTTCCTCGTCTACGGAAAGGTAGGCCTCTTTATCTCATGCTCCACTTGTAGCGGCTGGTGCAGTTGAGACATGTAATAACCTGGTTTTTTACTTGTGGGTTTTTTTGGGGGGGGGGACATATAGGCCAAATTTCCAAAAGCCACATTATTGATAAGTGGCTATTTCATTATTTGGGCGTGTCTTCTGGCGTTTGCAACACGTAAGCAATTAACTTCATTTCTGTTACCGCTTGCCTCTTTTTCTCTAAGGCAGGGAATATTAGGGCATTTTATACCCACTCCACCAAGAAAAACGCTACTTAGAGATCAAGACGTGTTTGTTGTATAATAAACCTGAGTGATATCCTAATCAGAATTTGCTGTGGTGAGATCTGTTATCCAGATACCACAATTAACGTACTATGAATATTTCAGAATAGTCACCGACAATGCAAATTGCACAATGAATAATTACACAGCACAGATATAATCAATCTTTGCATGATTGAAGGCCTGACAGACGCTTGAAGGGCAAAGCAAGGGATGGATGCCCGGGATGACAGGCGTAAGTCAAAAACCTGTAAACCGATTTAAAAATGTTGCACAATTAATAATAACGATAATGACAATGAACCACCGGAACTTAGGAAAGGGCTGGAGCTCAGGCAGTGCCTGCCTTTTCTTTTTTCTCTTTTTATTTTTATTTATTTATTTTTTGACAGGCAGAGTGGACAGTGAGAGAGAGAGAGACAGAGAGAAAGGTCTTCCTTTGCCATTGGTTTACCCTCCAATGGCTGCTGCGGCCAGCACATTGCGGCTGGCGCACCACACTGATCCGATGGCAGGAGCCAGGTACTTCTCCTGGTCTCCCATGGGGTGCAGGGCCCAAGCACTTGGGCCATCCTCCACTGCACTCCCGGGCCACAGCAGAGAGCTGGCCTGGAAGAGGGGCAACCGGGACAGAATCCGGCACCCCGACCGGGACTAGAACCTGGGGTGCTGGCGCCGCAAGGCGGAGGATTAGCCTATTGAGCCGCGACGCCAGCCAGTACCTGCCTTTTCAAAATATACTGAGGTATATTCATTGATTACTGTGAAATGCCAGATACGATTATCGGGGTTGATGCCATTTTAGTCTATAGCGCTTCTCTAAGAAGATTTCTGAAGCACGTGTTGACAGCTTCGCTTCCTGCTACATCTGTACATTTTCCGGGCTCACTGGGCTTCTTCTGGATGAAATCCTCCCGGCAGCGCTGGTGGCTTTGTTTCAGAGTCAGGGTTTAGAAGGAACAGCTGTTCATTTAGCTTTTGAGGGCCCGGGTTCCATCCCTCGCAACTGCCTCCCTGTAGGATGTGGTTCAAGTCTGTTAATAGATTGTGTTTAAGGCCTATTGGGTTAGTCACTAAAATGAAAATGAGAGTGTCTCCTAACAACTTTCGGGAGTTTTTACAAGTAACTCAAGCAATAAAACATGAGAAAGCACTTGCGGCCACCCATGTAGCCTGGAGCCCATGGATGGTGGCATGATGGTTAGTCACCAGCACAACTTTCCCAGTCAGGCTACTGTAACCCAGAGTGGAGGATTTAGGCAAGAGATGGGTACAGGAACAGGGCACAGAAATTGAAGCTCTGACTTTCACACGCTTCTTTTCCAGAGGCTGTTTCAGGAACATAACACCCAGAGACAGCCAGGTCACCGGGCAACCAAAGAAAACTGCATGAAACCAGTCTGAGTCAGTTTTAAATGTATAATGTGTGCAGATGTGTGTTGCTTGAGCAAAAAGGACCCTACTGCTCACCCTTTTCTGCATCCTGAACACTCCCATAACTTGAGCTCTAAAAATCCTAGCGAAGCACGGCTCCGGCAGGCAGCTTCCTGGAGGAGCCACATGGTGCCACCATCTCATTGAGACATCACAAGTCAATGGAGCTTCCCTTCGGGCAACTCTCGCCCAAGGCTGATCATTTGGTGATACTCCAAGTGGATGGGCCACTTGTGTCCACTGATAATACCAGTAGCACCGTCAGTTTTTCTCCCCGTTTCATTTTTCCTTAAAATATGCAATGTATTGAAAAAGCTAATGGGTCAGGAAAACAATTCCAAGCCCTCCTCTCTTCCAATGCTAACACCCGGAAGAAACTGCCAGTAGCAATCTGATGTGTCTACTCTGTGATGTTCTCCAGGGAGGGTACAAGTTGTCTATATATGCTACATCCATGTGTGTGTGTGTGTGTGTGTGTGTGTGTCTGTGCTCGCATGGGCACCCATGCTTGTGTTTGCAAGAGGAAAATCATGAGATACTGGTTTCATGGTGGACATTAATGCAAAATTGTATGTGACAATTTAAATAAGCCATGCAATCCTTGGCTGATATATCACAGAAATGCTTCCCCCCACCCCAGTCTTGCCTGTCTTCACCCTTTACGTTCTGTTTTTGGAACTGTTGACTCCAAAATGGAATGCAGAAGGCATGGGTTTGCATTTTGTTAACTGGAAGCAAAGGGGCTCAAGATAAATTTGAAGAAAAAGTTTTTTCTCCAAATTCTTGTGAGGATTTGTTAATTTTTTTGTTTGTTTTGTTTTGTTTTGTTTTAGATAGTAGCCACTCTTAAAAAGGGGGATGATAGCTCTTTGCGATTTTTTGACTTGCATTTTTCTGAAGGCTAGTGATGCCGCGCATCTTTCCACCCACCTGTTGGCCATTTGTGTTCATTCTTTTGAGAAAAGCCTATATCATTTGCTGATGAAACAAAAAGGATTTATTTATTTGAAAGGCAGAGTGACAGAGAGAGACGGAGAGACAGCGACTGAGAGATGTTTTATCCCATCCACTAGTCCACTTCCCAAAGTTCACAACAGCCAGGTGTCTGTCGGCCATGTCGAAGTCAAGGGCCTGGAACTCTGAGTTTCTCACATGGGTGGCAGGAACCCAAATATTAAGACTCCATCTTCTGCCTCCAGGTGCATCAGCGAGAAGTTGGATCAGAAATGTGGAGCAGCTGAGGATCCAGAGCGGCCTACTGATGTGGGATGTGGATATCCCACAGAGGTGTTTAACACACTCTGGCACAATACCTGACCCTATTTTAAACTAGATATTTTTTGCTAAGGTTTTATTTTTAGCTTTTCATATACTCTAGTATGAACCCTTTGTTAAATGAATAGTTTGCACATATTTCATGCCATTCTGTAGGTTGATGGTTTCCTTTGCTGTACAGTTTGGCTCCTTTACAATTCTGGTGGGAATGTAAATTAGTACAGCCATTGTGGAGGACACTAGGGGTTCCTCAAAAGTCGAAACGTAGAATGCCCATGATCCAGCTTCTGGGTATATGTTCATTTCCAAAGGAAACGAAGTCAGCATGTCGAAGAGCTATCTGCCCTTTCACGGTGATCACAGCGCAACTCGCCACAGTCAGCATATGGAACCCGCCTGGGTGTCCACTGACAGGTGACTGCATACAGAAGGTGTGGCTGATATGCACCATGGAATAGCATTCAGCCCTGAAAAGGAATGAACTTCTATCCTCCGAGGCAAAATGAATGCAACTGGAGGACAGTAAGTTAAATTAGCAAGACACAGAGGGACAGTACTGAATGCTCTCTCACTTGTGGACGTTAAAGGTGTTGATCCCAAGGTAGAAGGGAATAGAAGAGTTCATTCCTGCACACTAGAAGGGTAGCAGAGACGGGGGGTAAATATAAGTTGAATAACGGGTACCCAAACAACGTCAGACACAGGGAGTAAGTTCTCGTGTTCCACACAGAGTGAGGTGACTACAGTTCCAAATAATCTATATACTTCACGAAAAACTAAAGGAGAGGGGCTTGAAGGCTCAAATCCTTTCAGAAAAGGAGACAGAAATGCCAGTGAACTTATTTGATCAGTACACACTACGAAATACACACTGTGCCAAATATGCATACAATTGTTACATGTCAATAAAAAGAAAAAAAAGCAGAAAATGTCCGCTCTTCACAGTTTTTGGAGGCACATAGTAACTGTTGCAGATTTCGCTCATTAGCTGTATATATTTTAAGTCGGCAAACTGGGGAAAAAACCAGCTGAAGTCATCCATAGCATTCCAATCTGACTGAAGTGAAAACAATAAACTGATGACAACATTGAGGAGCCAGATATTCCCACCAGTTAAATCTGCTCCATATATACAGTCTGTAAGATGGTATTTCTGTTTTTTCAAAATGTGCAACAGCAAATTTGTTCACTGGTACCCATGCCCATCTTCCTTTGTTTTTTGGCAAACGGTACAAATTTCTCTGTGGAAGTCATTTATTCCCAGGAATTTTCCTATTAAACATTCAAATAACAAGAACAGCTGGTCACAACTACTGGGAGACTTTAGGGAGAAAGTAGCAACCTGCAAAGATGAATGGCGTTTATAAGCTGAACTAGCTGCAATGGTGATTTTAATTTCGTAGTAGGTGAGGAACATTTGTATTTGGGAGACACATTCATTTATATGTTTTTCTATTATCACACAGATTCAAGGGTAATTCTAGGCCTTATTTTGGAAAGTAATGAACATTCTTATTCAGAAAATAGGGAAGAATAATGCCATCTATAACAAAATTGCTCATTTTTTCAAAAAGCGAAAACAACTCATACTCAGTTACAAATTCTAACTCTGTTTAATGAATGTCACTGCTGCACATTACACATACGAGAGGACCTGAACGTCAGTGGAAAACAGGATTAAAATATAAGGGTTTTTTCTTGGTTGAGGGGACACACTTTGAAATCCACACATGTTTTCTGCAATAGGTATTTTCCATGAACTTTCTGAAGATCCCTTATGTGCATGGATTTCAAGATGTTTCTGTACCACAGTAAATTATCTTTTATTTCTAGTACTCCAGGAACTTACTGAAGAACCTGTTTAGGTGACTGGAATCATGGCTTATCACCTTAAAATGACTCAAATATAGATTGGAGGATATCCGGAGCACCATGATATTTTTCTTTTTCAATCAAATTTCACATATGAGAGAATTAAACACTAACATATTTCCATCCTTCTACATACACACAAGTGTAGAACCACGAGGCTGAATTTTTAACATGCAAATTGCAGCTGTTTCCACTCAATTTAGGGTAGCACTACCACTCACTGATTTTTTAACTACTGTTCATTTGAGAGACAGCCAGGGGTCTCCTATACCTTGGTTCACTATCCAGATGCCTACAATGGCTGGGGTGGGGCCAACTCCAGGATCTAGAAATTCAACCCAGGTCTCCCACTCTGATGGCAGGAACCCAATCACTTCCTCCATCACAACTGCCTCTTAGAGTCTGTATCAGCAGGGAGCTGGAATTAGAGCCAGAGGCAGGTGCTGATCCAAGGCACTAAAATACTGCAGACTTGTAGTTATTCTTTTTAAATTTCATGTTTAATCTATTTTAATGGCAGGAGAGAGGGAGAGGGAGGGAGAGAGGGAGGGAGGGAGAGACAGAGAGACGAGAAAGGTATTTCATCACTGAGTCACTCCCCCAATGCAACCAGGGCTGGAACAGGCTAAAGCAGGTAGGCCAGTTCATCTGCAAGGCCCCACGCCTGTCCCTTTCGTAATAAATTTTGTTACTGTGACTTACTTTGTTTCAGGGTCACAATAAATGACCAAGGTCTGGGCTATCCTGAGGTTGGAGCACCTAGAAGAAATATGGGCCCATTAATTTTTTTTTTTTTTTGACAGGCAGAGTGGACAGTGAGAGAGAGAGACAGAGAGAAAGGTCTTCCTTTTCTGTTGGTTCACCCCCCAATGTCCACTGCAGCCGGCGCACCACGCTGATCCGAAGGCAGGAGCCAGGTGCTTCTCCTGGTCTCCCATGGGGTGCAGGGCCCAAGCACTTGGGCCATCCTCCACTGCCTTCCCAGGCCACAGCAGAGAGCTGACCTGGAAGAGGAGCAACCAGGACAGAATCCGGCGCCCCGACCGGGACTAGAACCCGGTGTGCCGGCACCGCAAGGTGGAGGATTAACCTATTGAGCCGCAGCGCCCACGGGCCCATTAATTGTAATAAAATAGAGTAGCTTTCTTAGAAGCATTATGAGACTATTAGAAATATTTTAAACTGCTCATTGGCCCAATGAGGCTGGATTATAACTTTGTATGAGATAGGTATCGTTTACTTTAGCTATGACAAGGGCCGCCTGTCCAATGGCTGCCGTTTTGAAAGAGAATATGCCTATTTTATTTAAGATCATTGGTTCTCTGAGAGAACAAATAAAAGTTAATGCACTTGCATTTCCATATGAATGGATTGGCAGTTGAAAGAAACAGACTTATGAGTTTGTCCTTGTTAGTGTGAAGCCACAGTTTCATACGACTGTCTCATAAAACCTGGCAACTATAAAGCTAGTAATTATATGTATCAGTTATTTCAGTAAAATCGATTTTTAAAGCTTCTCTGATGGTATTTGCATGTTCATAGACATTTTAATAGAAATAGGCCACTGTCCTTCAAACTACAGAAACACAATCTTCCATTAACATAATATGAAGACTGCAGTGTGTGCTTGGCTGATTTTATAAAGACAGAGGATATAGAGGGCTCAGTCATAGGAAAGACAAAATAGTAATTGGCAAGATAACGACAGCTGTGTGTTTTCAGGAATTTCATCATCCTCTACAATGTCAGGTATACGCTAACATATGTATGTACTCACACATACACATGTACTTCAAAATGTTCATGGAAAATGAAATTAAAAGGTAAGTTTATTATTTTGGTGTAAAAATTTTGAAATCTATGCATATGAGGGACCTTCTAAAAGTTCATGAAAAGTGTGCATTGTGGAAACAAGTGCATGAATTTCAATTTTTGGCACCAAAATAAACTTATATTTCCTTTTATTATTATTAACGGAGAAGCACAGAGACAGACAAGACAGAGTTCCCATCTGCTGGTTCACTCCCCGATGCCTTCAATGGCTGGGGCAAGGCCAAGCCAAAGCTAAGAGCCGGGGACTCAATTCAAGCGTCCAACATCCAACGTAGGTGGCAGGAACCCAAATACTGGAGCCACCACTGCTGCTTTCCAGGGTGCACATTCGCAGGAAGCTGGAATACGGAGCTAGAACCAGCAGTGGAATTCAGCAACTTTGATGAAGCAATTTCTTTTTTTGCCTTAAACATCTAAAACGTGTATTTGTACTTATTTTAAAGGCAAAGAGACAGAGGGAGACAGAGAAAGAGAGAGATCTTCATTTGCTGGTTTACTCCCAAATGCCAGCAACAACTGAGGATGGCCCACGCTAACGCTGGGAGCTGAGAGCTTCATTGGGGTCTCCCACACAGATAACAGGAACACAGTTACTCGAGCCGCCACTGCTGCCTCCATACAGGAAGCTGGAATGGAAGTGGAGCTGGGATTGAACCTAAGGACTTGCATGTGGGCATCCCAAATAGTGACTTGATCACTGTGCCAAATATGAGTATCTTAAGCACCAGGCCCAAAGCCCAAACTTGTCTTCCAATTCCAATTTTTCCATGGAATCTGTGATGTGCCTTCATATACACGGTGATATTCAGCACACAGAGCTGGTCCAGAGCAGAACAGCCAGGTGTGAGGTGCCCATGGGGGAGCCTTTGCAAAGCGGTGGTGTTCTTCACTCAGAGAAGCAAGCAGCAGGTGACTGGGAGGCAGGAGGGTGTCTTCCCAAGCTAGCAGAGTGGCCCTAGACCACAGCTGCCTTCTACTGGCTTAGTCTCCACAAAGGCCAGGCCTGGGCCAGGAGTCAGCAACTCCATCCTGGGCTCCCACATGGGTGGCAGGGCCCCAAGCACTTAGGCCGTCGTCTGTTGCCTTCTCAGATATATGAGAAGGAACATGGATCAGAAGCACAGTAGCTGGGGCTTGAATGGGCCTGCGGACACTGGATGCTGGTGTCACAAGCAGTGGTCCGACCTGCTGCGCCACAACACTAGCCCTTCAGGGAATCATTTACTGCACATGCACATAGAAGTTCAAACAAAGAACGATGAACAGGAATGACAGAGATCTGGACTCATGCTCACACAGTCAAGTATTCCCAAAGATCATTCTCATCGTCCAACAATGGAAAGCACTGTTGAGAGAACAGCCGAGGCTTCCCTGTGTATCTAACGCTGCGGCCCCAGGAGAGCTCATATTCACGCAGTGAATTCCTGGCTTTAGTTCTTTGGTCACCAGTGAATTATTATAAGCAAGGGAGGTGGATTTCCATAGACAGAAGAGTGGTAGAGCTCAAATGAAGTCTGATTTTCTACTGTCTGAAAATGCTTTGTAGAAACATGTCAGGAGATACAGGAATTCAAATGAGCTTAGGGGGTAAAAAAGGTAAGACAGACAAGACCTGTTGAAGTCCCCCAGTGCATACCAGATGGCATCAAACTGAAATTGATGTTGATAATCAATGTCAAAATATCTTAGGGTACTATTGACAGAAGGTATGGGGATGAAAGTTAATCCAAGAAGCTTAATGAAAAATGCAGAACCAAGAGAATCGGCAGAGGGAATGCAGAAATGGACCTGGAGCAGATTTTAAAACATAACTTGAGCAACATTTGACATACTTCAGGCTCTCTCAAATGTATTTCCTAAGCACAAAACAGAGAAATCGATAGCAAACAGATCCTGTTTATCTGTGTGTGTGCGTGTGTGTGTGTGTGTGTGTTCTAACTTTATCTAAATAAAGGACAACTAAACACACTGTTGGGTGGACTAGAAGGAACATAATGTCCCAATACTAATATTTGACTTTGTCTTATAGATTCAATAAGCTGGTATCTCAATGGCCCTTTGTGTTGTATAAATTCTCTCTCCACCACAGAAATGTGTTTTTCGACATCACCAAGGGAATTATCACCCAGTTCTTGATATGTTGATTTCAGCCTTGGTACAGTGCTGTATTGCTCAAATTAATGGTCCCATACATTTATGATAGGAGTCATGAATCTCCTCTAATTAGATTCTGGCAGATATCCTTTTTCTTAGAAATAGTTATTAATATCAAAGTTGAAGAGAAGCCTTCATTTGATCCCCCTACTGCCTGGAGTAGACCCAACAATTTGTCCCCGCAGTCACTGGAGATTTGTCCTCTCTGACAATCACCCATGGCAGACAACCCAAGACTCCTGGAGACCTCAAAGGAGACCTTAGCCACTTACCTGGTGTAGTGGCAGTGATGCAGGTGCCAATGAGCTTTATTCTACCCCATGACATAATTGTGTCTTTATTCATGTGTTTGCTGTAATTTCAAATGTAAGAGAAGTTGCAAGAAAACACCAAGAAGTCTCTTACACTCTACCCAGATTCATCAATGTTGACTGCTAATTTTGTTCCATTGTCCTCTCTCTTTCTCTCTCTCCCTGTCTCTCTCTTGCAGTATTCCAGTTTTCTGTTGCTGTCTAACATATTTACAAAAACACCACCACTCAAAGGCACGTGGATATTTTACCTCCTCGTTTCAGGTGACAAGCCTGGCGGAACTGGGATGTCTGCCTCCTCTCATAAGCATGCAATTAAGGCACCAGCAGGGCTGCCCTCCTTCCTGGAGGCCCTGAGAAAGGGTCCATTTCCTAGTCTGCTGCTCTGGTCTGAATGTGGCTTCTCCAAAATTCAATGGTTGCCAATCGTGGTCACGTTATGTGGCAAAGACCGTGAGGAGTGATTGCACCACGAGTGGTACCTGATAGAGGGGCCTGATGGAGGGAGATGGCTCTCTACTGACCGCCTGCCTTCCTTCATGCGAGGAAACAGCAAGACCCACCCAGGAAACCAGGGCCTTCCTCTTGGCCTTTCCAGTCCCCGTAACTGGGAAAAACAAATGTGGTTTTTTTTTAATGATGCAGAACACAGCAATCTCGTGGAGCAGCACAGCTGGACTAGGGTGCATGCTTACTCAGACTGTTGGCAGAATCCAGGTCCGTGCAGGTGCACAGCTGAGGCGCATTGCCTCCCTCAATTCCTGCTGGCTCCCGGGTCCTTCAGACCCACCTGCCTGCCTTCTCACGGGCCCCCTGTCTTCCAGTCAGCAGCAGCACGCTGCACTTTATTTTTTTTAACATGTATTTACTTATTTGGAATTAAAAGAAGTTTCTTTTGGTGCAATTTTTAATGTTTTTATTTATGAATAAGAAGAAAAAATTTCATTTATTTCATAGATATGATTCTAAGAGTATAAGGAGACTCTCCTCCTTCCTTCCATCCTTTCTCTCCAAGGCATAGTGACAGAGAGGGAGAGACAGAGAGGAGGAGGAAGAGAGGAGGGAGAGGGAGGAGGAGAGAGGGGAGAGAGGGAGGGAGGGAGAGAAAGAGAGAGAGGAGGGGGAGAGGAGGAAGGAGAAGGACAGAGGAGGGG